TTCAGCAGCGGAGTGATTGCCGGGGTGATTTGCGCTTGTCTAGCCGTGATGCTGATGATCACGTCCTTCGTCCTATGGAAGTGAGGATCAATCGTTTGCCTTGCCGTTTTGCCGCGCGTACCTTTTCGTTTTGCACGACGCCATTTTCTCATCCATGTTCATTTCCATTCTCTCTTCGTCCCTCTTGGACTCTCTCTTGGACTGTCCAAACTTCGTCGTTCCAGCAAGAATCGTCCGACGATCGGCATCGGAGCATGAATTTATGGAATCGTGGTATTCTTCCCGAGTCCTAATAGTCACGTGATTGCCGCCCACAGTCTCGTTCACTCATTCAACTTTGCAAATGCAATACCTCTGCCCCATCATACGATAATAGGCATTCGGTCGTCATCGTGCAATTACGAACGATCCACGATGCAGTCACGCAGTATTAAATGGCACGCAGTCGGTGCGCCGTGCGCGATTAGTCCGCTCGTCGAGCGTTCAGTTTACCGGCTGGTCTCGTGGTATTTAGACTGACCGTGCACTATCATCGCTAATGGTACAGGAAAACAATTATACGTACGGTGAACATTCGGTTCTAGGTATTTCTCGGATTCACCGTTCCCTCTCCGTCGCGCGACAGACCCTTCCTTTTTCCACGACTCCAGCAATCTCTCTCCTTCTCTATCATCGGCTGACCTCTTATCGTTCGCGATAACGACCAGTAACAACGACAAAGTAAGGCTTGCCAGTCGTAAGGCGGCGTTTCGTGAGGCGAATCGTTACGTTTCGCTCGTTTCGCCCGTTTCGTCAGGAGTGGATGGCCCATCGAGTTCTCTGGTAGTCGTGTGCCAAAGCACGTGTCGCCGCGTGCAGTCTCTCTTATTTTCGCTGGTCGATCGCCATCGCTGAAGATGCTCAAGGACGTCGATTCATCCGTGATACTGTGCGACTCTCGGAGGAACGATTCGTAAAGAAGGAATATTTTCTGGGTCACGGACGGCGTGCTTCGGCAGGCCTGTGCCTGTGCGTTGCCCGCTCTCGTAGTCTATTCGAGGAACGTTCACCTCGATTCCTCCTTGCTCTGCCGATCGTGGAGATTTTCTGCACAAGCCTAGAATGGATAGTAAGAGAAGTTCATCAACGGGATGAAGAAGTTCCTCGAACTGTGAGTTCAGAAGAAAAGAAAAGAAAAGAAAAGAAAAGAAAAAGAAAGAAAGAAAGCGTTTGCCCTATTCGAGAATCTCTCTGTTTACGGGAGGTGATCATGGACGAATCGGGAACACGGAGCGCCATCGGTTTCCCGCGCGTTTCGTCGCTCGTAAACGACGATCGAATGGAAACGAATGACGCTCCGTATCTCTTATTGCGTTCAATTTCGTTGCAGTTCCGAGGCACTTTGATAAGGACACGTTCGATGAAAGAACGTCGTGTCGCTTTCTTGCCTTGATAAACCGTTTCGAATTTCCTCCACCGGCTTTCCATCCTTCTCCTTCGCTCTTCGCGTTTGTTTTACGTTTTCGTTTGGAATGCATGCTTATGACGAAACTCATTAGGCCTTGCCTGAGGCCAATTTTCAGGAAATGCTTCCACACCGCGTACTACTTCCTCGACTATCCGCCCCGCAATGTGCCCACCCTTCAGGAATGGGAGAACAGCGAGCAGGACGGGGAACGTACCGCGGTCGCCATTCAGAAGTTTGTACAGCACGTCGCGAGCCTACATGCGGATGGGGACATCGGGTTCAGCAAGGAATACGAGTTCATTCAATCGGAGAGCGACAAGTTCACCGCGGAGAATTCCCAATATGTTGAGAACAAAGCGAAGAATCGATACCTCAACATACTGGCCTGTGAGTAGCTAGCTATACACGGTGTGTTCGATTTCCAGACCGACCAGAGGGGGGCTCCCCTTCGCGGAAAGCTTTATTTCCATCGAGGCACGCACGGTTTCGACAGGTCCACGCAGCTCCTGTTTTTCTTACCCCGGCCCACCGGCGTCGAGCTTCTATTTTTAAGCGAGTTTCCCTTTCATCCTCGCGATATATCGCGAGGTTTAATTTCGTTCTATCCGCCCGACTGTCGTACGCTCCGCGTTATCTCTCGCGCAGTGGCGATCGAGCGCCCCGGTTAATCGATTAACCTGCAGCAATGGCACGTTTCCGTTTCTTCAAGGTTTCCTTCTTCTCTTTCCCGGTACGTTCTTTCGTCGGTTCGTCATCGAGCATGTAAGTCGACGAAGGTTTCACGCGTGTCGCGACAGAGACAGAGGCTCACAATGCGACAATTGTAATCGCGCGTATCGGAAGTCGGTAATCGTCGCAGCGTCGCTCGGCCTCGCGTGGAACTGGCCTCCAATAGAGCTGAAATTGCGCTCTAGCTCGCTTTCTATTTCAAACCGGACGACTTTCGTTTGATTCGTGAAATTCTCGCGTTTACATTATATAGCACCCGCGCGTTATGTCTCGCCGTCTCGTTAGGATCGATCAGAGTAGTAACGTCGCGCTTCCTTAGTCTACTCCCGGATTAGCCCTTGTTACCTTATTGTTCCGCACGTAGCATTCGTACTATTTTTGATAATCGATCGATCCTTATCTCACGCTGGAACGAAGGTCGTCTATTAATGTCCCATTGAAAACAAGCGCATCAAGTGCACGTTAAATTAAGATTCAACCTTCATTCGTTATTCATGTACATTCGCAACAATGGTGCTGATTCGAGCAAACGAGCGCTGTTCTTCTATCACGATAAGATCTCGAGTATATCAGGAAAAGTCCGGAACGAAAATCTTTCGCGATTTTACACCGATAACGTATCGGTTTTCTGCTCAGATAAGAAGAACGATGGCCACGAGTTCAACCGAAATCGCGCGCGATTCGACGTGTCGAAATTCGCGATGCTGCGAGCACTCGCCTCGGACGTTCGCAATGTTATCGGATTAACGAGCTGCTCTCGTTCGCTTTTAATGTGAGTGACCGGCAGCACTCGACAATGAGGTCACAGATGTTTCACGGCACAGCTCGTTAATGCCTATCAATGGTGGTGGGTGAGAGAGAAAGGGGGAGAGGAGAAGAGGTGATCACCTGGACGATTCGCGACGTCGGTTCACGGCGCTTTCAGAATCTAATTGAACGCTCTGAACGAGAAAATGGAACCGGTAACGGAACGTTTAACCGTGGAGGGCGAGTTTGGAGAAACGTAGAATTGCGGGCTCGGAATGGTCGATGTTGGTTAAAATATCTCGTTTTCTTTGTGAACGTTTTAGCAAGTTGCCGAGTGGTTGGTCCAAAGGTTCAGCGAAATATTTCTGTTCACAGACGACCATACACGAGTGCAATTGTTATCATGCGGCGGAGGACCACCGAAGAAGGGTCACGATTATGTGAACGCGAATTACATCGACGGTTGGCAACGTTCGCGGGCTTACATTGGTACACAGGGCCCATTGCCACCGACTTTCGATGGATTCTGGCGTATGGTGTGGGAACAGAGGGTATCGATCGTTGTCATGATCACCAATCTCGTTGAACGTGGTCGTGTAAGTGTTGCAACGATATTTTCTGCGCATCTAACCGCTTCTGTGTACGTGACGCTTTCTATTCTTCTCTCCTGCAGAAAAAATGTGATATGTATTGGCCTAAGAAGGGATCCGAGACCTATGGGTACATTCAAGTGACTCTGCTAAGAGAGGATGTTATGGCTACGTACACCATTCGTACTCTTCAAATTCGTCACATCAAGGTTGGTATATTCGCGAGAAAGAATTATCCACCTTCTTGATAATACTGACATCTAAATTATGGCGATATCCATAGGTCAAGAAGAGGAAGAACGGTGTCAACATGGGAGAACGTATAATTTGGCAGTACCATTATACTGGATGGCCCGACCATGGAGTACCGGAACATCCGTTGCCGGTTCTGAGCTTTATCCGGAAATCTTCCAATGCCAATCCTCCGGATGGAGGACCAATCGTTGTCCACTGCAGGTAGACGCAACCAGAATGCCCTGAAATGAATGATATTAGAAATCTGAACGCTTGCTTTAAATTACTAATCAAAATTCTTACCTTTTCAGCGCTGGCGTCGGGCGTACAGGTACCTACATTGTTATTGACGCCATGTTGAAGCAGGCCAAGTGCAAGAACGAAGTAAACGTATTTGGGTTCTTAAAGCACATTCGCACACAGCGAAACTTCTTAGTTCAGACCGAGGAACAGTACGTGTTCATTCACCATGCTTTGCAAGAGGCTATCGAAAGCGGTGAAACTAACATCGAGGCAAACAGCCTACTAGAGTATGTTCAGGACATGTTGAATCCCAATAATACCAATACCGATGCGTGGAACAACCTTGAAGCTCAGTACAAGGTACTAGTGATGTAACAGGATAAGTAGAGTATTCTAGGTTTTCTACGTGACTCTAATTTTACAAATTGTATCTTCAGCTGGTGACTTCGTGGAAACCGAAAGAGTTCAACCTCGTGTCTGCGATTAAACCGTGCAATCTGCACAAGAATCGTAATCAAGATGTCATTTCGATCGAAACAGCTCGCGTTCACTTGACGCCGAAGCCCGGAATCGATGGAAGCGACTATATCAACGCTACATGGATTGCTGGTAAGCGAACATTCTAAATGCTTCGTGCCAAACGTTATTTCGAAAACGTGAAACAAATACAATTTATTTCTAGGCTTCCATCGCAATCGCGAGTTCATCATCACGCAACATCCAATGGAAAATACAATCATGGAGTTCTGGCAGATGATGTGGGATTACAATGCACAAACTGTAGTCATGTTAACCGAATGTGACAAGGTACATAAAGTTCTTTGTTCGATATTTCTCGTCTTTAAGATTGAACAGTTGAAAGCACGACGAATAACGTCTAATTAATTCGCAGGAGTATCCCGAATTTTGGCCTACCGAGGGTAAAGATCTAGAGTCGGAGACCTTCCGTGTACGATCTTGTGGAATCAAAGAAACCGCGAGCGGAATGATCTTGCGCGAAGTCGCGGTCCGATCTCTACAAGACGATTACGAATTAAGTGCCAAAATCGTCCAAGGACCACGATCTCAGCCTGGCTTTTGGCCACATAACACCAACCCGCGACCCCTCGTAACTTTGATCCATGACTTACATCGGGACTACCAAAACGGCCCTATTGTTGTGATGGATAGGTAATTTTCTACTACAAAACAACATTCTACTGCTCGATGAACCTATAACGAACATATTAATAACGTTGATCGCTATTCGTATCAGGTTTGGCGGTGTCGAGGCTGCAATCTTTATTCTGCTTACAACATTGAACAAACAGCTGGAGTTCGAGAAGAGTGCCGATATCTACATGTTCGCAAAATTACTGTACATGAAACGGCCTGGAGTCTTTCGATCAAAGGTACGTCTTCCAGTCTATATATGTCCTTGTTCTTAACCTCAAATTTACGTGGAAAATCTTTGCAACGGATAATATGATGTTACAATGAGAATAATACGATCTGTTTACCTGACAGGAGGATTACGCGCTGTTGTACCAATGTTTGGAAACCATGCTGTCGTCAAAGAGTCACGACGAACCGGATCTCTATTCGATGGCTAACGGTCACGTGTCCACGATAACGGATCCCGCCGACGAAGCCACCTCATCGATGCAACACATGCAGATGGATTACTCTCCCAAGCCATCCATGATGAGAGAATACGCAACGGTGGAAGTGAACTCTATGTCCGATTACTCTATCTCGATCCGAGTGGACCATTCGATGGAACCGTGTAGTAGCAGAAGCAGCGAGAGCTGTATGTTCACTCACGCGGGAAACGAGCACGAGAAGAACATCGTTATGACCCATCGGAACGTAAGCTATCACAATCATCCGGGCAGCGTCTCTGTCATCGTTGACGCGAACGGTTACGTGACGAATGGCAGCATGCGTATGAGACCCGAGGGCATGGAGTCGAGCTGCAAGATGTTGCCTCAATGATGCCTGCCGATCTTCGGTTGCAGTGTTTCCTCGAGCCGGTCTGAGCCGCTGTAACCGATCGAGCTCCTCACTGCCCGAAGTGTAATCCTGATTCTGTGAGTAGCTTTTCAGTGCTTTTTCTCTTCCTCGAGAGTAATTGTAAATATCCCTTACTCTTGAATAATCATCAGACACACATGGAACGCTTCGAAGATTTACAAACAACCTACTCACCTAACGCGTCCTTCCAAATGTAAACATATCTCGAGTATCATGTTCTCGTAGGTTAGGTTACGTTAAGAGACACACGACTAGAGATTTAGCTGCAAGAAATGTATACAACGTCGTTAGGGTACAGGTGGACAGAAGAGTTGAACGAGCGTGTTTACAAAGGTCCTCTTTTTTTTCTGACCCCATATGCAGGCCACAGCGCAAGGAGTTCCAGATTGGACACGTCTTCGCACAAACGGAAGAACGGCGATTCGATCCTAGGATCAGCCTAAAGAGGACTCTCGAGCATCTTTAGTGTAAATAATTAGTCGCGTTAGTTTGCACGCGTGTACGTATATGCTCTTGAGAACGTCGACTGACCGAGGGTATGCGTACACGCGGTATAGGAAAAAAGAAAGAAAAATGGGGGTCCTGTTTCCGGTGTTGCTGGGTGCCAAAAACCACTTGTTAACGCACGCCACCCTGGACCTTCGTTTAACGTTGTTCATCGTGTAAGTGTACACTTCTCGTTTTTGTATATACACACGTCGAGACACATTCACTCGCATACGTGCACACTTATACATAACCTCACTCACGGACACATGTACACGCACCTCATTTATGACCACACGTCCATACACACACACACACACACACACACATGCGCACGTATATGGATATGTACGTGTAGTACCTTTAAGTTGGATCACTCGACCACTTCTTTACCAAAGAATCGTTTATATTCGTTCTCGTTTCGTTTTAAGTCCCTTCTTTCCATGGTTTTATCGTTCAGCTCAAGACCGACCAATCGAATTCGCAATGTCGTGCACGCGTTCTGATCGAGAACACGTACCGTCTTTTCGTGACATACAATTAGGGGGAAGATGGCGCCGATGAAAAATTTGACGTATTTAGTTCACGAAGAACTTTCTCCAACCTCTCTTCATCCCTCTGTCTCTTTTCGCCGCAGCGAGCATGCAATGCCACAAGGAATTGAGGATCCAAACGTTCGTAAACGCGTCATCGTGCGTCGATTCGATTCTTTCGAAGTTGTTCGAAGAAAATATGCAGCGGAATGCAGGGAACGATATTTAACGAACGGAAAAGGGAATTACGCGAGAATCACGCGAATAGGACGCGATCAAAGTCGTGCAGACGAGGGTATTCGATGATTAATCGTGATCGATGAGAATGGTAATAAACCGTGACGAATCGCAACTCGATCGCTGTAAATTAACTCGATGGAACGTAGCTAACTGCCAATGAGCGCGCGAAACCTGTTGCGCGAGCATGTCGCGTCTGCGCGCGCACGTAAGGGAGAGAGAGAGAGAGAAAGAGATTGCGAGCAAACGTGGTCTATCTAACCTCTCGATCTAATTAATTAATGTCGTGATCCATTTCTAACGTGTAAGATTCGAATTAAGCGAAACGCGAAAAATGTCCCGCGTGTAACTAGAATTTTCTTCTCACGATTACGAACCGCCAAGTTTCGTTGTCCCACGTGATTTCCGCCATGACCGACCGAGCATTCGAGTCGCGACAGAAGAACAAGGAGAAAGCTACGGCGACGACAATCTGAAGCGTTCGATAATTAACGAAATTAATACCCAATCGCAGAACCTGCGCTCGGTGATATCAGGGATAACCTTGATCGGTGTATATCAACGATAAAGCGGCTTATAGAATAACGCTGATCAGAATGTGATCCAACGAGACTTTATTGTGATATAAAAGAAAAAAGGGAAAAAAAAGGGAAATACAATTCGACACTGTTGTACCGTTTATTCTAGCCACGAGTTCCTTTGCCGCGCGATCATTTTTCTATCGAATCTACCATCCGGAAGACTGTTCTTTCATCTAAGATTCTTATATACACTTGTACGTACGATAAGTCAGTATACTTTACGTAACGCGAAAACGAAAACTGCCTGTGAACCGCGACACCTTCGATCCATCCTCTATACGTGTTTTTCTACCATCTTGTATACGTTGTGACTAAATCGCCGACGAATGATCAATCGTCCCTCGTTTTTACCTTTTACTACCGTTTAACGATCGACGACGTGGAAGATTTAACGACAAAAAAAAGAAAAGACATGAAAAAATTTCAAAAAAAAAAAAAAAAAAAAGGAAAAAAAATATATGTGTGTGCATGTATGTAACCGTGTCCGTGTTAATAAGACGTATGTAACCGTAATCCACGACTGAACGACCTTTTAAACTCGTTATCGGTTTTAACTCGATGTCGATGTAGCCTACTTTAAACGTAAAAGAAAACCGTGTGCTTCTTCCTTCGGGCTGATCGACGCGATGGAACGAGGAATCAAGGTCTCGTTTCACAGCGAAATAATCATTATCGTTCTTATCACCGTTTTTAACATTCGACGATACTCGGCACACCTTTATCGAAAAAACTCCAAACGTTGATCAGCGCGTTTCGAAAGCAGTTCGTGAAGGATCCCGAAGGAAGATTATAAAACTTAGGTGTAGTTCGCGTGTCGGAAAGATAGAGGGCAAATACCCAGGCGAAGTTGTTGCGGTTTCGTTGGGTCGGCGGAGGATCGGCAAAGCTGTATTTCTTGCTAACTTTCGGACACGTCGGCGAAGCTAAGAAACGCGATAACGAAGCGATGAAAAGAGGGAGGGGGCGAAGGAGACACGCCAAGAAAAATTAGGAAAGAAAAAAAAGAAAAAGTATGAAAACGAAAATAAAATAGAAAAAAAAACGCGGGAAAGGCACGACAGATGGGACATTCGATCTCTCGATCTTTGGCTTTCTTGCCCTCTGTTCCACCAGAACGTACACTTTCGTTCAGCGAATTCGATCGTGGACACACGTTCGTGTCTTTCATCGACACGACACTCGCGTGCATCGTTTCGATAGACGAAGGAACGTTGGTCGATGATTCAGTAACTAAGCGAGCGTGACCGCTTTGGAGCCTTACGACGAAGGCTTCTGACGAATCAGAGAAACCGAGCCGACGTCCAGCATCGAGCGCACAGCGTTCGCATAGACCAAGGAGCTCGTTCGGTTCCCTCTCTTGCCGATAATCGCGAATTTTTCACGAATCTCGACGGAGATTTCATTACAAAAACCGGTGGATACACGCTTCGTGGAGAGGGAACGAACGGCGGTGTTAGGGTCTGTTGCGTATTAGCCGATAAAAGAGTAGCAGGATACGCGAGTAGCTCGAGCTGGACAGAAACAACACGATGTCTTCCTCCTCGTGAGCAGGAAGCATAGGCAGGGAAGGCATCGCGAAAGTAGATAATTCCTCTGGACCGATTGAGCCAGCGAATCCCTCCCTACGACGAGAAAGAGCTAAAGATGTCTGTACCATATGCGATATATTATATGTAATATCGGTTCCGCTGTAATTAGGGATAATTAGAACGCGAGAATGTTGTCGACCCGTGCAAAGACGTGTCTGGACGCCAACTACACACCGTATACATACAGATATGCACATGTACACAAAAGCCACACGGATGCACACTGCAATACCGATCGCGAAGATTCGGGAAAGGATCGACGACGAGCACCCTGTAGGCTCTTTTTAGCGTAAAAATAGTAAAACACCACCGAACGAACCGACTGTTGTTAGCTGCTTAAACGAGCAAAAACAGGATCACACGAGAAAACGCATCGTATACATAAACAGAGAAAAAGTATATAAATATAAATATATATATATAAATATAAATATATATAAATATATAAATATAAATGCAAATATAAATATAAATATATATTATATTCAGATATTTATGATATGAGCGAGAACTACACACACACACTGTAACGTCGCGTTTTGAATCGCCACGCGGGATACCGTGACGCGCATGCGCACTCGCGTGCGCGTGCAACTTCTTCGCCATTTCGCGGGTGTTCTCGTGAATTGAGCCGTGTGATAGTTGGATGGGCAACTCGCGTGGACACCGTCACTCCAAGTCCCTCCTATCCACGCGGAACACGGAGGAAAACCGAGGGGAAAAGCGTAAATCGGTTTTCCTGCCGTGCACGATGCCACGGTACCTCGTCGAACGGCGCGCCGAATACGAATCTGTACTGTATTTTACGATAAGCACCGTAAATTCTGAGTGTACCTATAACGGTTACAAAAGGACATGAGAGATGAGCAGAGAGAAAGAGAGAGAGAGAGAGAAAGAGCGCGTGTATGTATGAGTGAGGAAGCAAATAGATGTGCAACGAGGGATGCATGTGGACCGACCGATCCCTGGGACACAGGCGATCGGCCGGCGCATCGTTTATACATATATAAATATTATACATAATTAATTCGGAGGATAACGAGATAGGTGTGTATAGAAGGATAATTTAGACTCTAGTCAGCATAACACAATCGTAATCGACGACGCACACGTTTTTCTTCTTCATTTCGTTTCCGTTCTTACGTTGTCACGGGAGAACGCGTTATTCATATCGTTCCCATCGTTGTTTCTCTGTACTCGATGCGTTCGGGTTTTTCACGTACACACAGGGACGAGTTGTAATGAACGCGTGGCTGCGTTTACGGCTGTTCGTTTGCTCGGTGGGTTGGGGCAGGGGGGTGCGTTGGCGCGGCGCGGACTAAAACACAGTGTGACGTTCGTAGTAATTGTCGTTTCCGTTCTCCCTCTTAATCTTATCTTCGGCTCTTTTTTTCCCCACCCGGCAATCGTTTCCCTTCGCATCGTCTGCTCACGGTTAATCACGGTTAATCCCCGTTCTTCGATAAACCATCCGACGCTCCATTTTTCCAAACATCCGTCGCACGAGCCGCTTCCGTTGGACGCCTTGTTTCGATGAATCGTTTCCGTATCGAAATGCTGGTGAATTTTGTCGAACTGCAGCGATGAACGGACTGCAGACGCAGCCATCCAATTGCCCGATAGAAGATAAAGCGTTCGATGTAAACGACCATGTATCGAAGGCCTAAACGAACCCTCGGAGTATCGTTTGGTAACCGCGAAAGGTTCGCGCGCGATCGGGCCCGACAAAGATGGCGACGGGCAGAGAAAAGTCGAACGCTTGATCGTACAGTCGACCAAAAGTCATTAGAGAATTAGAGGGACGAGAAGTATCATCGGGGAATCGGTTCTAGCCGTTTAGACGTAAATTCCGGCTCGAACGATGCTACCTTATTCGGAATTAGAGAATCCGCGCGCGGGGAACGTACGACGTCACGCCACCGTAAGACTGCAACGCGACAAACAAACGAATTAATGGGGTTAAAAAGGGAGAAAAAGATGAAAAATGTAAAAAAAAGAGACGAAAAAATCGCGACGAGACACGGTGTTTTTTACGATTACTATATTATATCACGATTACTATGCGTTTCTTTCCGGCGTTAGTTTCCGCGGCATCGAGTCAATCGACGCGCGACATTTAAATGCAAGTATTCGCACAGGCCTACGATAAGAGAACTCTTTATATACGTATCCATGATGTTTCACGTGTACACTAAATAAACATGCATTAATTGTCATTCAGCTAATCGACACGATCGGACGACATGCGTAGCGCCCTAGAGAAAAATGGGATAACGACACACCGAGAAGCTTTTGCCTCCTATCGAAATGGCGGAACGACTTTTTACTCGCGTTTCACACCTGCAATTGGCCTAATCGACGGACCCTATCGTCTCTCACCTTTCGTTCCTCGAGCCTTGAAATTTCTGATGACACGCTACTTCCGCTAGCACGGCGACGTCGTAATGGAACTGCACGAGACAAAGAAAGCAACGCTAATGGAGACTACGAGAGAGAGAAAGAGTGAAGACGGATTTACATGGAAAGTTATTTTCTGTTCGTCATGGATCCTTCTAGCGAATATCGCGCGTGAAATCAACGTTCGATCGAACGTGCAACCGTGCATACGATTATTTTCCGCGAATGGTAGCTCGTTGGCGAACGTGTCGTTCGCGAATACTCCGCACTTTTCTAATCCGCCATTTTCTCCCTACGATTAATCGCCATTTGCAACGAAACGCCGCGAAAGAAACTTATCCCCGCGTTCGCCAGCCAGCGGTCGCATTAGCGCCCGAGAGATCGCGCTGCAGTTGCATTACGATTAAGCATATGCGACCTCTTTCAATTCGACATAGTACAAAAATCCGCAGAGTCGCGAGAACTCGAAGAAAAATGCATAGAAATTTAGAGAACAACCGGCAGCTCGAACCTTAGCGATCGTACCGGATGTTCCGGTTGTCGTCGAGCACAGGTCCCAAAAGCAAATGGCGCGAAAAATGCAAAAGAAACAAGAAAAAGATACGCGTATGTCCTTTCACCGTAACAGTATCTTGACCAATTAAATACTAAGCTAGCATGGATGTATACACACTGAGATAAATGTTAACCAGTTACCTGCGTAATACTCAATGTTAAGTGTCGAACTGATGCTCGTTCAGAGTTTCTTGACGACTGTCCTCGCTCGTGTGAACCTCACGATTTTCTTTCTTCCATTTGCGCAAAACGGAACATTGCCAACGACTGTCTGCCAATCGTTTACGCGAATTTTTTTAACAATCGATAACGAAAAAAGGAAAAAAAAGAAAAATTAAAAAAAATGAGAAAAAGAAGAAACACAAAGAAACGAACGGAGCAAAACGGAAAAAGGAAAAAAAAGAAAAACGAAGAAACGTTAAGAGACATTCCATGCCCCACTTTTTTAGACGATCAACGAAACGAAACATTGTTTGACTGCCATATACATATTTTACGATAATTTTATAGACGAGAAAACGGAGTGGGTCCAACGATCCGGGCCCCACTCCGAGTTCGATACAATCTACCACGATTCGAATGAAGTAGTTTCCGTTTTTTCTAAATGCGAATTTTCTTGTAATTTATCCTGGTTAAAAAGGAGAAAAAAAAAAAAGAAGAATAATGCGACTACACGACACGTATTGATACGCGAACAAACTATTGTCACAGCTAATATGTGTGTATTTTTTCTTTGTTGTATACGTATCCGCCGTGTAGAAGAGTAGCGAACCCCCGCTCCAGCTCCCCACCCCCTTCTCTGATGCGATCATTGTTGCAATCGATATCCCACAAGTATGTTGTAGTAATATACACTTCTTACTATCGAAAAAAATATCGTGAGTTTTTCATTACATCGATCGTACATAGTACGTTATTATTTGAACGACTATTATCCTTTTCTTTCCAACTTATCGAATAATTTGGGTAGATGAAGAGTTACGGCAAACCTATTGCGTTCATATCTTTATTTAGGTCTTCTATAGATCCTTTTCGACGAATAACAATTTCGAGTTCCTCTGTTCTTTGGACAAAAATATGAAAAATATCCAAAATTCATCAAGGAAAGGTAAACGTGTACAAGTTTTCCTGTTACTAGCGCCATCCACTTTTCGATGTCGCAACAACGAAGCTTCGAGGGCTCTGGGTATACTGCGAAGGTAAAACCGCCTTGATAATTTCAACCTTACCGACTTAAGATTATAACCTACTGTATCGAATGGAAAATTCGTGTCGGTAAGTTATCGGATTTTTATGGAAACCAGATACATTGATCGATATATAAGCGGTGGGATCTCTAGAACATACTGGAAGGTGTTTATCAATTGGAAACGCGAACGTAGCGATCGCGTCTCGAGATTCGTTATGGAATCGGATTTCTATCCCCTGGAAACGCGACTGTCACGCAACTGATAAGCGTTGGTAAATAGGCTGATTGACGTCTCGTTTGTGGCCACGGCTACGGACACAAATAGTCATTTTAACGAATCACTGTCCTCACTGGGATGGAACAGCAACCGATCGGTGGGCGTTTCGAAACCGTTTCGAAGCTATCTGTGCGATCGTCGCTAACGAATTGCCATATCGATTGTCGTCGATGAATATAAATTCGACATCACCGAACTTCGTTAACGTTTTAGGAAAAATAAAACGGAATGGTATTCTCCGTTACATCCTGTACTTTCGTTGCAGGGGACCAGGTAAGCGAAACAAGTCACTCGGGGCTAGCTTTTTCTCCGGTTTTTCTTACAAAAATACCTCTTTATTGTAAATGGATCGTCGACGGTAGTTACACGGAAAGACAGTCATCCATCCACAGAGAAGCGTTGGGGAATCCCGACAATCTCAACGGCGAGGAAATTTTCTTTTTTGCGTTTCATTTTTTTTACATTTTTGCTTTTTTGAATTAACACTCATCATGCTTTGGCATCTTTATTATTTTACGTGTGTGTGTGTCTGTATGTATGCGCGCGTACGTGTGTGTATGTGTCCCTTATGCGATATACCGTTTTTTTTTTTTCGTTTCGTTAGCGTTTGCGTTTCATATTTTTTTTTTTTTTTTTTTATTTTTCTTCGAATATTTGATTAACACACTTAGACAGTGATAGTGAAGTCTTTAGGTGATTTCGAGAGCGAGTTAGAAGGAAAACCCGTCCTCTTCCTGTGGAGCTTCAGCTTCATGTCGATGTCGCACTCGGCCTCGCTGGTCTCGTGCGCGTCCGTGAAACCTGTCGGCGGCTTCAGTTCCAACGTAGACAGCTCGCTGCCCCAGTCCTCTTCCCTCCTTGCCATTCTGGACGATCCGGGTTCCTCCAACTGGCACAACGACTCTACGGACTTCCTCGGGCTCGGATCTTTCCCTAAGGATCCAGGCCTTGACGGTTGACTCGGCGATGCCCCCCTCGAATACGAATGCATCCCGGATTCCGAGAGCTTCATTACGGGGCGCAGAATCCCCGGTACGCGACCGTCCATCCCCATGTCGGGCGTTGCTCCTTGATTCCTGCAAGTTTACGAGATCCGCGTGGTACAACAGTGGGTACCCTTATCGATATCGACTCGCTAACTGTACAACTGCTTTCAATGAGATTAACGTCAACCTCTATTCCCTATTCTCATCTCGGGACTCTAATTATCGTAGTCTACGTTTACTATCCCACTATATTAGGGTAAGTTTCAACGTCGAGATTGTCAGAAGGTACTATGCGTTGCTGACACGAAGTCCGCTGTTTCGACAGAGGGACAAGGGGGTATTAAAAGGTCCCCACTTTTCTATGACACTATCGAAACCGTTACACGTTAACATAGGCGTAAGATATGCGAAAAATTCCTCTACTCGAATAATTCATTGGAAGTCTGCGAATACGAGAGTAATACTGCATATACAAAACATGATTATTCGAAAGGATTGATTGCTCTTTTATATCTGAGCACCTGATCGTCTTTTGTCTGAACGTTCCCGATGGTTCTGATCTTTCTAGAACCGTGATCCCCGACACGTACCCCTGCGCGATTTGTGACTAGCCATCGAATGCTCTGAATCTTCGAGGCCTTCACAATTATCTTCACTTACATTTCATAAATATCGAAATATAAATATAGTTAAATAAAATTTGGAAATGAACATTCATCGAAAGAATCTGAAGTCAATGCTCTAGGGATAAGCCTACGCCCTTGTACTTATTTCTTGCGTCTGTTTCACTTTGTCTCGGATGTTTCGTTTTCTTTCTTTGTCGTTTACTCTACTTCTGCCATGGCGTTAGAACGGATTGGTGAGGGTTAGTGGAGATTCGGTGCTACGTTTAGCTTCAGCGGACTTCTTATCTGAAACGCAGAGTACAGGCAACGAGACGAGATATCCAATGGCGTAGAATCCACGGAAATATATCAGCCAGCGAGCGTACCTTTGCTTCTCGAGCCTCGGGAAGGTCTTCCTCTCAGAAATTGGTGACGGCTCGGTTGATGTACTTGATTCGTGCGTGTGGTACAGCACATCTGGAAGGTGCACGCGAGACACGTTGATGCGAGAAACGTGAGACGTTAGTGGCGACTTGGATGCTGTTTAAGGCTGTTGCCGGCGTCGACACAGAAAATCGAATACTAACTTACTATGATGAACCGGCCTCGGAACCAGGGCTAGTCGCTGCTCCCTCTGCCCGATCGAATTCGGCCCTGGGGATCGCGTCATTATCGACGCTGGCCCGGAGTCGTCCAGATGGTTCGAGGACTCGGTGCGACTGCTGGTACCGACCTCCGTGTCGCTGTCCGAGCCCAGGGTGTCGTACTCCTCCGACTCCGACTTGAACGATTTCGACTTCCGCCTCGCTCTTCCTCGCACCTTCGTGTACTGCTCCATATCGCACTGCAACGTGTAAAAGTTACCCACGTTCTTCGCCATCGTCTCATCCTCTATCTTACTTATCGAACCTAACCATCGACTCGAACAACGTAATGGAATATCGATAAACAGCGTGGGGAAATTAGCCTGCTGCAGGACGATACCCAGACGTATCGAGCACTTTTGACAGTTACCAGAAGCGGATCCTCTGACGGAGGTTGGCTCGGTTCGGTAACAAGCTTCCCCAGGACCCAGACAGCTCGGCTGAGCGAGAGGCATTTACTCGCGAGCAAAGTCTCGCCAGATCCGACGTAAGCTCGGGGCACGATACATCAATAGAAGTCGCCTTACATTTATACGCGAGATCGAGTGCACGCTGCTTTGATCTCTCGGGGATATCCGGCTACGTGTACACAAGCGATATATCATCGGCTGATCTCTCTCGCTCGTATACACGGGGACATACATCGAGAGAGCCACTCGATGAAGATACATTTCTTTGCCGCGAATGCGGTAAGGGGTGAAAGACGCGCACAGGGAAAGACACCCCCATTTCGATCGATTAAATTACTCCGTGTGCCAGAGATACCGCCAAGCATGCCCGTTTCAAAGGATCCGCCGCCGCGGATGCTGCTTTATCGAACTGTCCTCGGTTATTTATGATGGGTACTCGTACCTGATTGCCTTGCAGCATCGTTTCGCTGCGTTCGTAGTAGAACGCCTGTCGCATCGGGTTCACCGACAGGTTTTCCTGCTCGGGCAGATTGAAGGTGGCGTACGGATAAATGTCTTCGGAATATTCGGGTATTCTTTCCAGCGCGCTCACCTCGCGACAGGGTGACTGCTGGCCGGGTTTCCTCACGGTCGCGTAGTACTGTTCCCTCTGCTCCATGTTGTGCTTGTTCTCCAGCGCCGCCTGCGTTTGCGAGTTAGGGTCGTTCGCTCGCCCCGATCGTTCCGCATCTGCAATTGCGATTCACTCGTGCAAGCGAAAATCGTGTTACCGCGGCCTTCGTCGACTGCGTTAATCGGGGGTAGGTAGATCGGCCATAGGTAAGGCCAGGCATCGATGCTCGGGTGCTTTATGCCAATTTTTAATCGTCGTTGAAAGGGTGCTCTGAGAAAGCAGAGACGTGGCAGGAAGATCTGTAACACTCGTGGGAATGGAATAGTTGCGGATCTGAGAGAACTCGAAGAGTGTCGAGGACATGGTAATCGAAGAGCCAGTGACGATGAGACTTAGGCTGACATCTATCGTGGCGAGTGCACGAGGAAGAACTAGATTGACAGCGTGTAGGAGAATCGAATGGAAGAAATACTTATAGCAGAGACAGTTAGGTGTGTCTCCTTAAAGATTGAGAACTATAACTACAGGGAATGACCGCGTGAGGGTATACAAAGTGTGACGGTGGTATTAGAGGAGCTTAGAAAGGCAACTGCTAGTCGTCGTTCAGGGAGAGAGTTATAGAGTTAGTTTCGTGTGAGTCAATAGAGTCTAGAGAGTATAGCGAGCGAGAAAGTTGTGTTATCTTTCAGTTTATATAAAGTTGTTGTTATCAAAGAAGCGTCGTTACTTCTCAAGCTTGAAAACCTTTATCTACGAGGGATTTAACCAGAATAATTCCCACAAATTGTTCGCTCATTTCGCATGCAGTACTCACGAATTATCAACGACGGATTATGACAGTTTGTCTGTCAAGAAATACACGTCAAGCGTGTTGGAACCCGGATTTCAACATACAACACGGGTTCTAGCAACGAGGCTACGTTGGAAAAATACAAGTCAGTAGAGAGGATAAAACTAAGACTGAAACTGAGACTGACTTTTCGCAAATTTTGTGGGTGCTTGTATAAAGTTAGTAGGACAAAACTAAGACTGAAACTGAGACTGACTTTTCGCAAATTTTGTGGGTGCTTGTATAAAGTTAGTTTTCGGTGGGGTGAAGATGACCATTGGCCCTTAGTGAAAGTAGGAACGAGTCAATTGCTTTTGGACTCCGAAATTGGTCTGCGTTTATCAGTCAGGCCGTTCCACTAACTAAGGGCCAACGAATCGTTAGTCATCCAATAAGCGTAATATACTCGATTTCCTATCGATATTTGTATAATCGACATACATTTGAAATTCGACGTTTGATTAAAATCGCTAGCGAAGATGACTAAGAAGGGAGAGAACAGCGTGCTAGTTACAGACGACGCTAAGGTAACCTCTTTTACAACGACAGCGTGATCTCGACGCTGCCTTGGACTCCGTTTACACGTGCCAAAGCCTTGACGCACCCTTGCCACGCTGTCGTGGAGAATTTCAACACAGAGGTTGAGCTTGAAGATCTGTTGCCCAAGTTTCCACGAACAAAGGACTCCATCGATTAAACTTGTAATCGCACTGAGACTCACAGGTACATCTAAACGCCAGAGTTTACAGGTACGCCAGAGAAGACGTCCCAAGAATCGCGCTGACGTCGCGAGCGAGTTCGAACTTCGCGAGGAAGAAAGGGGAAAGTAAAAGGAAAATTCCTTAGCAGGGAAAATTAATATCCAACAAAAGATTGCATCCCTTAACTCTTTCGCTCTCGACGACTAGATCCATAGGACCCACGATCACTTTACGGTACACGTAACTAACTCAAGAACATAATTTCAATGAATAAACGAGATAGGGATATAGCGAGGTTCTTAGATACCAGGAGCACAGAGACGGAATATTTTTCCCGAAAGGAAAGGAAGGTGCGAAACTTGCAATCGCGAGTAGATTTTCGCACATTTGGGACAGGTGTCGGATTAGTCCAGAGGACATTGGCAGCACGATACGCTACTGAGAAAAATTGATCGGTGATATTCGATGATAACGAGATAGGGATATAGCAAGGTCCTTCAGATTCACATACCCTAGAGATATTAACAACTGACAACACAGTACTGAGTACAGCCATAAACACTAGATACCAGGAGCACAGAGACGGAATATTTTTCCTGAAAGGAAAGGAAGGAGCGAAACTTGCAATCGCGAGTAGATTTTCGCACATTTGGGACAGGTGTCGGATTAGTCCAGAGGACGTTGGCAGCACGATACGGTACTGAGAAAAATTGATCGGTGATATTCGATGATAACGAGATAGGGATATAGCAAGGTCCTTCAGATTCACATACCCTAGAGATATTAACAACTGACAACACAGTACTGAGTACAGCCATAAACACTAGATACCAGGAGCACAGAGACGGAATATTTTTCCTGAAAGGAAAGGAAGGAGCGAAACTTGCAATCGCGAGTAGATTTTCGCACATTTGGGACAGGTGTCGGATTAGTCCAGAGGACGTTGACTGCACGATACGGTATTGAGAGAAATTGATCGATGATATTCAAATGATAGGATAAATATTTGCCAGTCGCGATCTCTCCACGTTAGCATCAACAAAGCCGGGTGTAATTGCACAAAACGCTCGCGACTTCCTCGTTCGTCGGTCTTTTAATTAATCGAATCTCTGCGAGGGGATGTATCGGTCCCGCGATGTTGACACTGCGGTGGTAAGTGGTCGACGGAATAAAAACGCTCGCGATCCGCGCGAGATCTTGGTCGTGAGAGGGTCGAAGAAAGAAAGGTGGCGAGCGCGAAGGAAGCGGGAAAGGAAAAGGAGGAATCAATTTTCGCCGGTTAGGCGGCGATATCTCGTGGCTCGCCACCCCTCGAGGGTGCCCCGCGACGGGTATAGTAATTGGAGCACAATCCTGCGACGTTTAGCTACTCGATAACGACGAGTGGCACGAGTGCGGCGCCAGCACGCCCTTCTGGCTTAATGCAAATTACCGCCACCGCTGAAATCCTATCCGCGTGCTCCGAGCGCCGCGCCATCGATTCCCGCCCTTCGATCCGACACCCTTCCTGTACCCCTTCGAGGAGTTCCTTCGAAAGACGATCGATCCACCGTGAATACTGCACGGTCCATGGGCCAGTCGATCGATCCCTCGCGCCATCGCGCTCTCGTCGTCGTAGGATTTTATCGTCGAATTTGACTAGGTGAGTTAGGGGTAGTCGATGAACCGGACAGGATATCTGGCTATCGACTCGTCATAGTCGTTGGTTAGAGGCTGGATCGGATAGGTATGCATAGGCAGGTATGAACGACTGGAAGGATGCCTTTGGACACGCAAAGTGGAACGCATTGGGGTGAATTTCGCGTGGGTTATGAGCTACGGATTTATCAAAGAGCAACGATGATAGACGGAGATCGGACGTGCCACTTGGTTGGTGTGTAGTGACACAATGTGTATCACGGGAAAAAGGATTGTACCGCAGGAGATAATATACTGGGACTTTCTTTTCTTTGTTCCCAACGGTTCTGTTCAGACAGAACAGGCAGAGCAGCTGCCACCTGTCACGCCAAGACCTCTCTACTTACTGTCAGTTATTTCGTATCGTTCTCTTAGCGTACACGCGAGTATCCGCTCTACTAATCTTATTATTAATAAAACGTTTTCATCGTAAAGCAAACGCAACGAGACCCTATGTCGGTGTACCACGGGTACCGTGGCTTCCGCTGCGCGAATACACGCTTGTTATACGTTCAAACATACATTCGCGGAACTACGATCGTTATTTGAACATCGATTCGATGCTTCTTTGTTTGCTACCGCTTGTTTCGACACAACGATGTACACGTCCCCCCGGGCGGTTTTAATTATACGCATGGTTATTTGAGCACATCCGCGATAACGGTAACGCGGAAATGAATTTGAATTTTCCAGCCAATCGGGAATTAGTCCGTGGTTGGTAAACGCAGAGGGAAAAACGCGACGAAGTGTGGCGGAGATGGCGGCTGATGCTTCTTGGCGCCAGTCGTATATTCCGTGTCTAATTACGCACAGAACGTCGAAATCGATTCGACTCGTGGAACCATTCCCGAATCCCGACCCGATGGTACCCGTGGTAATGATCCTGGACGACTACTGTCTATTCGGACAGGTCTCTCCGCGGCTGTGCACTTACGTGTTTTCAGGCAAAAGCAAACGCCGGCCACTGCCAGGAACACGGCCAGAAGAGAGATCACGCTAGGCGCCAGCACGTGGGCGTCGAAAAACAGCGAGGTCTCCTCGGTTTCCGGCGGATGCTCGTCGTGTATTCGATTACTGCCGGTCGGCGACAGAGTGGTGAACAGGTATTCGGCCTGCGTCGAACCCGCGTTGTTGTACGCGGTGACACGGAGCTCGTATTTGGTCCCGCTTTCCAGGTCCACTATGGAGAATCTCGATTGCGGCGGCACGTTATTCGACACTGCAACGGAATTAGGGTCGTCGCGTGAAACAGACCGCGACGGACGAGTTCGTTTCCAGACCGAATTTCCAATCCGTGCTTCGTTCGGAGAGAGAGCTGGCAGGAAATATAAATACGTGCACGTGAACCCCGTATGAGCGCCAACGCGATTTTCTAGCCTCTATATATTGTCAAAGATGGACTTATACGTCGGGGTGCTTTAGAATTCGTTTCTGACAGTTAGTCGCTTGCCGTGACAATTACGCGAACGTGTTATATTTCCTGCCTTTTTGGATATCGCGGTGTCTTGGAAATTGGCCACTAGCTCCTCGAAATAGCTTACTAAAGCGGGAGTTCGATCTCATTTGTGCGGAACATTGACATCGAACTCGTGCAGCCTACAGAGTGCAGTTTTGGGGATAAAAGATTCTATCGATAAACGAGATGTTAGCAAACGAGGAAAAAGGATCAAGTTTTACGTAGATTTTCTCACCGGTAAATTCACAGGAGTTTTATTCGTTCGATCGGTATGGGAAAAATTTTCCTGAAGATCTATCTTCTTTCAATACTAGAACTACCTATCTTTAATGGATAACTAAACATAGCGAGCACAGATAATAAGTTCAGCAGCACGACGAGGATAATTAAATATAATACATCGATTGCAGTTCTATTTCTACTGGAGTCAAACTTAAATTTTTTAAAAGGAGAAATATATCTATAGCAATTGCAAACAGGAAAATTCCGAGACCAATTCAGCTCACGACCAATTTCCAATGCACCTGGATATCAACCATCGATCTTATCCAGCAACTAGGTCCCATGAAGTCTCCTGTGTATGTCTATAATAATTAAAAACAGGAAAATTTCGAGACCAATTTCCAATGCACCTGGATATCAAGCATCAGTCTTATCTAGCAACCAGTCCCAAGAAAGTCCTCTGTACATGTATATAGTAATTACAAATAAGAAAATTCTGAGACCAATTTCCAATGCACCAGGATATCAATCATCAGTCTTATCCAACAATCAGTCCCAAGAAAGTCCTCTGTGTATGCTTATAGTAATTACAAACAGGAAAATTTCGAGACCAATTTCCAATGCACCTGGATATCAAGCATCAGTCTTATCTAGCAACCAGTCTCAAGAAAGTTTCCTGTGTATGTCTATAGTAATTACAAACTGAAAAATTCCGAGACCAATTCAGCTCACGACAAATTTTCAATGTACCTGGATATCAACCATTCGTTTTACCCAGCAACCAATCCCAAGGAAATCTCCCGTATATGTCTATAGTAATTACGAACAGAAAAATTTCGAGACCAATTAAGATTACGACCAATTTCCAATGCATCTGGATATCAAGCATCGGATTTACTCGGTAACCTGTCCTATGGAAGTCTCCTGTGTATGTCTATAGTAATTACAAACAGGAAAATTTCGAGACCAATTTCCAATACACCTGGATATGAATCACCGGTCTTACCGAGTAACCAGTCCCCAGGAAGCCTCCTGTACTCGACGACGAAGTACATGAGAGGACACCCTCCGTCCTGCCAAGAGTTCAGCTCCAAGGTAACAAACGTCTGGTTCGACTTGATGAGCTGATACTTGGTAGGCGGGATCGGTTTTGTGCCGTTGGTCTTGGCTGTCTCGATCTTGCTGGCGCTGCCGCTGCCGATCCTGTTGAAGGCAGCCAACGTGAACTGGTACTTGGTCCCGCACTGCAGTCCCTCGAGAAGGTGCGTGTTCGCCTTCCTGTCCAGCATCATTTCCTCCCACTCGGAGAACTCGCGTCGATAGGCCAGGAGGAATCCCTTGATCGGGGCGCCCCCGTTGTCCCCCTGTTTCCACTGCAGTTGCACCGCGTCGGTCGTGGTGCCGGTGGCCAGCAAAGTCGGCGGAGTTGGCGGCACTGTGCAAAGTTGCTCGATTAGGGTGGCGGTTTGATCACTCGAGAACGCCTGGTCGACGGATTAATCGCGCGGTACTACGAACAGGGCAATCGTAAGTGGCCAACCCGGGAAGAAAACCAGCTTCCTTTAACGATAACGAAACTTTCGCGGAATTTCAGAGGAATTTATAGGTCGTAAGCACTCGACCAACTTCTTGCTACTGCGATATATTCTCGTTCGGTCTCTCAGGGAGCCACTGGTTCGCGAAACCGTGTCCTATTTATAATTTGCTAACACACCCCTGAATAATACCGGGGATCGAAATTTAATCCAAGTGCAAACTATTCTTACCCAGCTTCGTATTTTGGTTCTCGATGAGAGATTAGTCAGTGGAACGCGTTGAATTTTGCAATTGCTGTGCGCAGAGATAATCCTAGCATACGTGTTCAATTTTTTGGTACACCCGGTTGAGACAGTGTCGCGTTGCAGGTGTTAGAGAGGGTGAAAATTCGACGCTGCGAGCTTTGGGGTGGTTTATCGAACGAATCTATTCCGGTATTGTAAACTTAAGGATTCTAAACGGAAATGGGCTGTAAAAGAGAAAGCTAGTGACAGGACAACGTTAGTTGATGCACAGTGCATCGATGGGGGTGCAATATTTTTAGCGATCGAAGGGGCGAGGGGTAGTTTTAAGGACAATTAGAGTTGCAAATTGCATTGTCTAAATAACAGATATACAGGCACTGCATTACTTATACTACGGGGGTCCTCCCCCACCGTTGTTGATGTCAGCTGGTCACCGGTTACCCTCGCGTGGGGATGGTGCTAGAAGGGTAAAGAGGAAAAGGAAGGGATGCGTTTCATCCCGGGGCCTGCTAGTGGACTCATCGATAAGGCTACCTAGCAGGCCCTGTCTTAGACAGGGGATACTATTGGAAGGTCTGGAAGTTATACGACTTGCAAGAAAGTCCTCGAACCTCCTTGAAGTTGAGATCCATCTAGTAGCGAGGGTGAGAACGATGGTCGCTACGATACCTTAATCTACCGTATTTCTAAGACAACCTATGGGCGTTGCGATATGTAGCCTCGATCGAGTTGATAGGCTTCGGGGGTTGCTGAGATCTGTTACAGAACGATCTATAAAGTCCTACGAGAAAGTCTTCGATAGTTTCTTCGAGTGTTCCCCGTTGGACCCGCTTTTAAACTCCGTTAAACTCCCCGAATCCCGTGTGAGCAACGTCTCGCAAGCATTCGGATGCGTTTCCATCGAAACCCGCAAATTCTACCAGAAATGGAACCACGCTCTCAGCAGTCCCAGAGAAGACTGTGTTTGTTTTCGTTGGTCGCGTGATTCCCAAAAAACGTGCATCGAACTCTGAGCAACGAAAAGAGCTCGCACACGCCTGGCAATGATCAATTATACAGCAACGAGAGACTAATTGCCTCGATGCACGGGCTATTGTCCGGCGAATAAACTATCCGGAGCACGCAAAGGGTAAGCTGTTAAGAGGATCAAAGAATATTTACCGTGTCTGTGGACTCCCTCGTGCCCAGAGGAAAAATCCGTTTCACCCGTATGTGACCGGTAAAAATAAACACTCGAATTCCTCTCTCTTTCGTAATTCGATTTCCGTTCCAGTTGCGCAGACCGTGCGAAATTCCTCGACTTATCCGCAAAGTCCATCGTCACGTCCGACCGCGCGGATTCGAGCGACGCGGACACCGAAATTGTACCGTCGTCGCGGTGGCGTTTCGCGGTCGCGTCTATCCGCGTGACGTTCCACGTAACGAAGTGTCTCCGGCAAGCGTATTCGCCGACGTTCCTTCGCGAGCCTGTTCCAATTGTTCGACGGGGAGTAATTGCGCGGCCATCGGGATGGAAAACAGTTCGATGTAACTTTTAACGAACCACCCTAGCCCCCGCGCGAGGGGGTGGTCGAGGAAAAGCTTTTTCGTCCAGCGCCGTGACCCATTCCCGTCATCGGGGCGCGATAATACGCGTGCGAGACGAACGAAAGTCGGCCGGGAAGCGGGGACCGACGCGTCGCGTCGCGACGTCGATCCTGCTGTCGGTTTCCCGACGCGGACGTGGCCCGTTGACCCGATTCGTTCCGCCATCGCGGTTATCCACGCGGAATTATCCGTTGCGAGTTAGGCCCGCGGTAAGTAAATCCGCGCGGAATTTTAAAACCGGGAGCAAACCGGGGACGCTCGGAGGCGGAATTTTCGCGTCGCGACGCTGTGGATCGTTCGACGAAGGAATTCGACGAGGTTCGTACCCTTTCGAATTATGGCGTCGAGGTGAACGCGATTACAGGCGAATGCCTGGGCTAAAAGATGAGGAATCCGGATCTGCGACGAGATGCTCGCTCCCAAGTGACTCGTTCCACGTACCTTGTACCTGCAGCGTGTACGCGATCTCGTCGGAGCCGAGGGGATTCTTCACGTGGCAGGAATAGTTGCCCTCGTGTGTCCTCTGCACGTTCCTCAGCGTCAACCGATTGTCCGGCCCGATGTCCGACCTGTCGTGCAAAGCCACATGGTCACGCGTGTCCGTGCAAGCACCCACGCGACCCTGCGATTCTCGTCTCTGCGTTTTGCACTTACTTCTGCTGCAATTTCGTGTCACTGCGGCGCCATTCCACCGTCGGACGTGGATTACCCACGGCGAGACAGGCCATATTGACGTCCACCCTCCACGGCACCACGAGCGGCACTCCGAACGATATTATAGCTGCTGGAACTAATTAAAAGTCCCGGTTATCCTTGCTCTTCGTTAAACTTCCTCCAGCTATGATCCGTGTTTGAGTTCACTTTCGAAACTTCCCTCGTTCGTTCTACCTTCCCGCCCCCGTCCTCCACCTCGTCCCGGTCCCGCCGCTGTTCCCGCGAAGGGGAGAGCGGAATTTTTAGCGGATCTGCCGGCGAAACGAAACTCGAGCAGCGATTTCAGCAAAGACGATTTCAATTATCGACGACGAGGCGGTACCCGGAAACGCGAACCGCCCCGATTAAAATGCATAATTCGCCGGAAGTCCGCCGTCCCTGTTGGCACAGGCCGCGGCGCGGCGCCTCGATCGACTTGCACCCCCGATTCGAACTACGCTCAACTCAAACGCGAAGAATCGCGAGAGTAGCGTCGATTAAACATCCCATGCATACGGAACGAGGCGGCGAGCGAGCTAGAAAGGCTGGTCCAGAAGTCTCGTACCGAGGCAACTTGTTTCGCGAAAAATCCGCGTGCTCGCGAATCGTGAAATGGCGGAAGAAAAAGCATGGACAGGAACGGAGGAAGGGGAGAAAGAGAAGCAGCGATAGAGAAAGAGAGTAAACAGGAGAAAGTACAAAACCACGATTACGAGGTCTGTCCCCCTCGAGGGACTAGTCTCGCGAATTTTTCATAAAACTTCCACGCTCATTGGCCCAATTTCCCACGCGCGTTCTTCGCGATAACTCGCGAATCGAGCCGGAATCAATTCTCCGGAGAGAAAATGGAAGCTGAGAGGAGAGAGGGGGAGAGCGAAGGAGGAGGATTTCTTGGCCGGGAAGGAAAGTTTCGCGTTTTATCGCGCGATGGCTTACCGGTATTGCTCAACTGGAGTTTGATGACCGGGGTGCTAGGTCCTTGCCCCATTTTGGTGGAGGCCGTAACCCAGGCCTCGTAGGACTCGCGCAGCTTCAAGCCGGTCACCTCGTGGTGCAGATTCTGCGGAGGCAACGAACTCTTAGTGATCTTCACCTCCTGGCCCTGGTCCAACACGCGGATATAAACGGTGTACTGAGCGAGGATGCCGTTGGGCCGGCGTGGCGGCAGCCAAGATATCACCACCGCGTCCTCGTTACTGGTCACGGCCTTCACGCGCTCCGGCGCGTCCGGAACTGAGCGCAGAAGAAGAAGCTGCTTGATAGCCGCCCCGGATGTGGAGCGGAAAAAACGGACAGGCGAAGAGGAAACGTTGCTTCCGCCGATAATCGATCGCAACGCGCCCCGGATACCGATGCACCATCGCCGTTGCAACGTCTCCTTTCCTCTTTCCATCATCCCCTATGGTCCTCTGTCTCTCTCTCTCTCTCTCTCTCTCTCGGTTTCAATTCGAAATTTCGTATTTCGAATTTCCAGCAAGTCATCGATAGAAGCCGTCTCGCGGAACGAAGGCGATACCGAGCTTTCGTATCGAGTTTCGTCGAGCGGAATTTAGAATACCGTGCCACCGTGTGCCACCGTCGACAGCCAGAGGTTCGTGCGTTCCGCGTGCAAATCCTTTGACGAATACCGTTCTCTTTGAAATCGCGCAAGGAATTCGACAGAGTCCAACGATGCTTCGGCTACCCACATCGGGATCGCGATCTCTCTCCATCGAATTATAACCCCGAACAACCCGTCACGCAGACGAGTTTTATTGGGACGCAATTAAAAATCGGCCCGAAGCTGTCCGCTGCACGAGCGCGGAACGAATCCGCGTACGGCGACTAACAACTCGTTTGCAAAGGCCTGCAGGATTCGTTCGCGCGAGTTTCTGCCATTGATAAACTCTGTCGGACCGGGTGTTTTCTTTGTGATACACGAAATTTCGATTATGCCCCGCGCCGTTTCGCTTCGACGAGGCACGCTGCGCGTTATTACGAGTTTCGCGATAACGCGATACAATTATTCGCGACCCATTTCGCGGAATTTCGACGGACCGGGCGTGTGCAGCTGCGTTTAATGGAAAACCGTCGAGTTTCCACGTAGCAGCAGCGGCAGCACCGGGTATAGCGTTACTTCAAAGGCGCGTTAAAGTTTCTGTCATTGACTCTTTCGGTCCCCGTTCCTCCTGCCTCGTTAAACGGCAGCCCGGCCCGATTGTCGGATATTCGCGACTGCGAGTGGCCGTCACCGCTTCCGCTATCAAGCCTTGCACGCGCCTCTGCGAGAACCAGGCGAGAAATAATTGAGAAATTTCGCCAGACTCCATTTTCGCCTCCTTTCGTTCCCTTCTCGCGAAAGGAGTCGAAGGACTGTTAAACGAGGCTGAAATATCCCGTACCCCGGGACACTTTGCGAGGAGAGAGTCAAAATCGAGACGAACGCGAGGGAGGTACCCCCAATAATTAGGACGCGACAAAGGGTAACGTTTCTGGATTTCGCTTCAAAAGCGGTGGCTAGTTTGAAATAGCATAGGTAGCTCGAAAGAAGTTAATCGATACGTTTCGATATAGATCAATTAAGGAAATTCGTCAACCATTCGCCTAATACTTAATTAGGTTGAAATATCACGTACCCCGGGACACTTTGCGAGGAGAGAGTCAAAGTCGAGACGAATGCGAGGGAGGTACCTCGAATAATTAGGACGCGACAAAGGGTGACGTTTATCAATTTCGCTTGAAAGACGGTGGTTGTTTGAAAAAGTTTTAAATACCATAGGGAGCTCGAGAGTTCCCTATTTAAGTTAATCGATACGTTTCCATTAAGGCCGATTAAGGAAATTCGTCGATCATTCGCCCAATACTTAACGAGATCTGGAAAAATGATCGTCAGGGTGGTCGCGATCGCAAGTTGTGCCTTGCCTCGATCACGAGCGGCAAATCCGAGTAGCTCGATAATTTCATTACCCCCGACTATCGATACACGCGGATAGCGTTGACGACCCATTAACGTTTCGATAATCCCATCATCCCGGTTCTAGTCGACTTACGTCCACGATCCACTCTCAGCGCGACCAGACTACCCTCGGGTCCGAAAACGACCAACTGGCCGGCGATCTAGCGGACACATGGACCTATCGAAACGTCAACGGTCGTCGTAAAGCATCGCCGGAATCCCTGGCTTTCCACGTCGATTCGTCCAATTCGAGCGCGGAAAATGTACTTCCGTTCGTCCGTCACGGACGACACCCGGGACTCGTGAAACGCGCGAATGGCTTTACCAGTTTCTTCGGTGGTGCAGGAGACGGGACTGCTGGTGACACCCTCGCCGGCCCTGGTGTACGCGAGCACCTGCACCGTGTAGTTGGTGTAAGGGCTGAGCCCGTGCAGCACCGTGCTCAGTGCATGGCTGATCTTCGTCTCCCTGCCGGCCTGCTGCTCCAGCACGGCGCTGGCCGCCTCGTACAGCAACTTGTAGCCCTGCACGACCCCGTGAACTTTGTCGGAAGGCGGTGGTTTCCAGGTCACCTGGATGTTCTGGCCTGTTAGCGCGGCGCACGCCACGTTCTGCGGCGGGGCGCTGGGAACTGCGTCAAATCGTAACAATGAGTACACGTCCATCTGCGCCGTCTCGTCGCGATTAGGCGAGGATTAACCCTCGGGACGGGTCGAAGGAGACGGGAAACGGAGCGTGGATGCGTGGATCGCAGTTGCCCCGTGTCTGTGGAAATTCGAGCGGAAGCGCGGGTCGAAGGCTCGGGGGGTCCGGTTACCCGCGCGACAAATGGCGTGACTAGGAGTTTTCAGTTTCGAGAGGAAATTCGAGGACAGAGGAGAGGTAAACTGGCGTCGAGTGGATTGTTTCTGCGCTGCTGATTGGACGGCTTGGATTCCGCGAACGGCAAGTTCTCGGAGCGGAACGATCGATCCTCGCGTCCCCGCGAAGCTCGTTACGCGAGAGCGTAACGCGCCGACGGTGCGCGGGCAAGAGGGCGAGAGTCTGTCTCGTTAACAGCGCGTGAGGCCGCGGCTCGCCATCTTTTTCCGCACTGGGTCAAGTGTCAAACGCGGAAAAGCGCCACGGGCGCGCGTGGCACGCGCGTGCATCCGACACAAAGGGATCCACTCCCGACGCGGTTTCCGCGGAACGCGAGAGAGTCTTCTCTCATCCGAGGAAGCTCGTTCGACGCTGCACCGTCTCCAATTCTACCGCGCGCGGATTGAAACCGGAAGAGAAAACGGAGCGCGGTCGCGGAGCGGTTCCGCTCGCTCTCCGGGGACAACTCGCGAGTTGCGGAGAAATTCGTTGCTCCTCGGAATCCGTCTGTCGGGAATGCTGTTACAGATTTCCTTCGCGTTTTTCCACGGGGGCAGTTGCAGGCGTAGGATTATCGCCGAGCCTTTGTTGGAGAACGCGGTACGACCGTTTCCTCGAATGTTGGCAAAGGAAACCGCGCAATTAAACGGCGCCATTGTTTCGAGCGGAACGGACCGCGGAAATCGCGCGAGCGTTGGATGAATTTCATGCATCGCGGCCGCGCGGCGCTAAACTTCGGCTGGCGTTCAAGTTCGGTTCAGCGTTTGGCAGAACGCTGCCGACCGGAAGCGGAAACGGCGCTCGCGCAGCCTGAAAGTTCGCCGAAAAATTCGCTCTTAAAAATTTAATCTCGCGTTACTCCGCGAAATTCCTGGCAACGCGGACGAGAGCCGGGGACGTTTGAATGCGACACGCGAGAAAAGTAGGAGAGGTGGACCGTACCCGAGTTTCCATACTTTCGAGCACAAGCAGGAGCTACAAGTTTGCTCGAGATGTTACAGCGGGGTATCGCGAAACGTCAACAAATGGTTCGGAGGAAGTTTCTTCGAGATCCCATGGCGCCCGAAGAGACACCACTGTCGCGAACTTGATCGTTTTCAACGACGCGATCCGCGTTTTTACTCTACGCGGATTCGTCGACGGCGAGACTCAACAAGTTAGAACAACAGGTCATTGGGGCAAAAAATGGGGGCGAAAGTTAATGATCCCGCCTCGCGAGACGTACGCTACATGCAAATTTTTTACGTCCGAGCCCGTGTTATTGCGGCTTTCCGCGTGTAAACCGCCAGCGAGGAAATTAATTTCGCCGTTTCGCGGCTCCGCGCGCGAATCTCTGGCCTCGTCGGCCACGCAGGATGTCGCGTATCTCGTTTTATATTAATCCCGGGAACGCTGCAGCTGCCCGATCGTTCCCCGTCGCGATCGTTTATCTCCGAAGCGTATCACGGTGGTGTTACTTCTCGTCCGAAAAGCTTTACGAGTAACAAAGTTGTTGCTCCAGCTTGCGTATATCTGTTTCGTCGAGTTAGGAGAAAACGGGGTCGTTAATGGGGTAGCTGGCGCTTACGATAACCTAAGCTCGTTAAGCAAGATTCTAGTCTTAAAGCGATACGATTAAGGGTACACGGTGGCTGAAGCGGGGGTGGAATCGACGGGAAGAGGCCAGCGGATGGTTAAATGAGAAGGTTAAATAATACGGTTGAGGAGAAGGGAAAAAGAAAAGAGAAATAAGCTTAACGCGGTTGGCTCACCGTCTTCGAGAGTCTGCACCGTGACCGGGTCGGATCCTGGGCCGTCGCCTTTATTATTGAACGCCTTCACCACCACGCTGTACTGGCTGTACTTCCGGAGGCCGGTTAGCCTATAATCGTACGAGCCGTCCCCGTTCCCCGTGATTCCCACTCTGGTGATGTTCACCGATTGATCATTCCCTCTGAAATAAAGCCACAGTCGATGTCCCTCGAGGCGGAAAGATAAAGCGCGAGAAGGAACGCGCGGAACTCGACGGTACTTAAAGCCATCCCGTGCAAACTGGAGCGAAAAATAGTCCGCCGATTCGCCCAACACCGATACCCCAAACTGGATGTACCCCCTTCGAATACCGAGTCCGCTCCCTCGACGACGACGACGACGACGACGACGACGTCGAGGGATGAAGGTTCCAGAGCGAATCGCGTTTCCGTCATCGCGTTGCTTAACGAACCGACGCGATTCTTCGCGAATTACGACGAAGAATCCCGGGAATCCGGGACGACCAAGACTTTGCGAGATTCCATCGTTTCGGCACGGTTAACGACGAATTTCAATCAGACGCGTCCGCCGTTCTTTCGCCACGGAGATTATTAAAGTTCCACGAGAGTTTCCGGAGCGAGAAGATTCTTCACCGGGATTCGTTACGCGGTGAATCGGTCACCGATGGTAACCCGATTTGATAATCGCGGCCACGACGAGGATCGACGCGAGTCGAGCGGAAATGGGAAAGCAACGATTCCTCGCGAAACATCCCGTTGGCTAGGTCGGGGAGAACAAAGCGCGGCGATTATCCGCGGCGGCGGAAACGCGAACCGATCGTCTGGCCATTGTCGAGGGAATCGGCCGCGATAATCGGCGAAGATTCGAGGCCCTCGACGAGAGCCAGTTCCCTCCCCGTTAGATTCTACGATCCCGAAGTGTGCTAGAAACTATTCTAAACAGCCGTAAGCGGATAACGATACCCGAGATTGGCGTAGCTGATGGTGTATCCGAGAAGTTCACCATTCCAGAGGGATCGATCGGGTGGTTGCCAGGTGACCTTCACTTGCTGCGGTCCTAAGGGTTCGGCGATCACGTGCCTGGGTGGTCCACCGGGAATTTCGCCGTCGGTTTGGGCCTGTTGCCGTTGGTGGTGAGTGATCGTTTCATGTTTTTCCCATCGAACAGAGACACGAGGACCGAGTGAAAGGGGAGACGATGAGCAGATTAAACAAAATGGCGACCGCGTTCGAACGAACGATTAGATGAATACGTGATACAATGACAAGTTTTCTTTTCTTTTATCTTTCTATCTTTTCTTTCTTTCTTTTTTTTCTTTTTTTTTTTCTTTGATACATGCTGAAATGTTTGATACTGACATGAAGGATGTCGCTTGGCGCTGATGTTCCAAGGTGATTTTCCGCAAGCACCCGAAAGTGGTAGGAGGTCGCCGGTTTTAGGGGCGACACCAGCGCGACCGTGTTGTCCCCTGCCACCATCTTCTGCGTGTTGTGCTCATGCCACACGTCTTTTCACCAAAAGGCAACGACAACGCTTAGAGGGCTTGTGCAACGTTGATCGCTGGTATAGTCGGCGGGATTTGCAACGCGCGGCTTTCACCGGCGTTCACGCGAACCTACGCCTTTTTCGCCTAGCCCCGAGACAGTTGCCGTGCTACCACAGTCCCCGTTTGCTTATATACTTTCGTTTTTCATCGCGCAAACGGCACGTCCACGTCGGTCAAAGCGTCTTCGTTGCTCTGCGCGACGCGGGGAAAAAAGGAAAGAATTCGCCAAGTGGAGGTAACGATCGCGTGCCTCTGCTCCGCAAGGTTCGCCGACCTTACGGAACTTTCCGGATGTGCAAGTTTATCGAATTCGATTTAGACTCCACGCGTTCGCCTCGAACGTCCATCTTAACGTGCTCCATGTTCCTTTCGGGAGACTCTGTACTTTTCCAATTTGAGGCAACTTCGGCGGAAAAGGAAGAAAAAGAAACGAGACACGGGACATCTTCACCTGGATGCGATCGTCGCGTGTTCGAGATGGACCCGAAAGACTTCGACCTTAGTTTCGTCGTCGACGATGGCGCGTGCCATGATCAACGGGTCGAGGAATAACACGCGATTGAGAATGAAAAAAGGTCGGCGAAAACTATCCACGTGCTTGGCCCGTACAGTTTGCAAAGGACCTTATCCACGAACCACGTCTCTCACACGTGATATTCGGGTTTCGCCCGATATCCTTACCGCGAAGAGGTGAAGAGCAACGAAGATGAAAGGAGTCGCCGAATGCCAGGTTAGACGGCGTCGAATCAGGGACGAAATTAATCGGTATCGCGAAATCGCAGGGTAGCCGTGATCCGCCTCGAAGCAGTCGAAAAATCGAACGTGCGAACGAACGAGGGTTGGTCCGTGGCCGACGAAAAACCGATCGCTCGAGTCCGGGGGTCGAAGTTGAAACGGTGCCATGTGCATCAAAGTTTTAATACAGGTTAATCAAATGTATACCGGCGTGATTGAACGAAAACGCAATATTTCAAGCTTTGTGTGCAATTTTTTATCGACGTTTCCCCGATACGTATCGTACGTATCAAAAATTCATCGCTATCGCGCTTTACTCTGAAAACACGGGCGGGCGGGAAGAAGAAAGGGCGAAATTAAAACGGTGTATATTTAATTTCAATCTGAGCGCGCGCGCGTAAAGAGTGGGAAAATATTATTCGTCGGATCGAAGAACGATCGCGTTCGCACGATCGATGGATCGCGTTGGGTGGCAGCAAGAAGAAATCCCGGGGGAGGCGGTGATAGCGAATACCCGACGCGGTGCTTGCCCTGAAAACGTGTTTCACGCGCGTTCACACCACGACAGCTCGCTGTCCTTCCATGTGTTAAGTTCGATAATTTAGCGGCGACCAGGCGATTCGAGTCGATTAGGCGTAAATGAGGACATCCGAAGTTAACGAGGGACTGGATCCTGAGGGTAGCCTGGCGAGGCCTAAAGAGAAACGATAGTGAGAGAGAGAGAGTGAGAAAGAAAGCGAGGGGGGCCGAGCGTGAGGGGTGGTGGTCGCTTTGAAAGAGAACTTTCCAACGACGGAGAAAATAAAGGTAGAAGACAGAGCGCGAAGGGAAGAAGCACGGCCGTCGACTTGGCGGCAAACTTCGACTTCCTTTTCGTGGCACGCTTTTATGAAAACCCTGACCCACCCTTCGCTCCACTCGATATAACACCCCTGCGACCTGTGCCTGGCTGCTCCCGTGTTGCTCGAAAAAACGGGTCATTCCACGCGGCGTAATTAAATGTCGTCGAATAACCGTCGAATAACCGTCGAATAACCGTCCAACACACCGAACCGGGCCTTCTTTTCCCTGTTGGAGCACCGCGACCGGTTCGAGTACAATACGTTTGATTCGTCGGCTAACGAAACTCGCCGGTCGGGCGACGGCTTTCACGAAAATTGAAAAACTTTGGCCGCGTGCACGGGGACCGGAGCGAAGACCGCGAGCTAAGGGAGACGCGGGCACAGCGACGCTCCGAAATTAATTTTTCCATTAAAATGTAAAAACCGACGGGGCTGCGAATTGGCCGGGGTTTCCAGGGCTGTGAGCGCCGGATCGTTTATTATTTCGTCGGCCGTCAGCTACTCGGTCGGTCGGGGATCGGCAAGTCGAAAAGCGACAGGGCGAGATGGAGAAGCCGGAGGAAGCGTGTGCGCGAGCTATGGTCCAATCAACGACGAATCCAGGCGAAAGAAACAACGATTCCGGTACACGATCGCCGGCCCGGATTGATTATATATTGTTTGCCATATTGCGCTATAATTTCATTCCCTCCGATTGCCTCTGTAGCCGGGCGGCCCGGCTATTGATTAAACTTGAGATCCAGCCTGACAGTCCAATAATGGAGTCTTAATGTGGCACCGTCGAGATATTACGAATCAAACTCCTTCCGACGGCTAGCTCGTAATGAAACGACGATTGTGCCGGCGGATGGAAAGCAATTAAAATATAGAGACCAGGCGGAGGAAGTTCGTGTAAACAAAAGAAAGCCGAGATGAAAACTGTCGCCAGCGTAATGAAATTCTCCTTCTCTCTCGTGCGTGACGAATTCGACGAGAAGTCGATCGAGAGACTCGTCGCGAGCTCGCGAATCCGCGATCGGTTCCTCGTGGATCGTCGTTGAGGGACCGTGGTACGAGAGATAGCCCGCGCGCCGCCACGCTTGGACCGTTCCGTTTCCGCGATATTACTCCGAAATGTCGAGAAATCTACGAGAACCTTAGAACCCTTTGCTCACTGCGAACGCGTAACGTCGAGGGATCGATCGGGTAGCGGACACACGGGACAGGACAGCGTTTCTCAAATTTCACAGACTACCCCGAAGGACGTTGCTCGAGTTTCGCGATCGATTAAGCAATGCTCGACAGGGCTGTGCAAAAAGAGCACGCGAGCAGGAGGAAAATGGCGCCGTTGAAAAATAACGAAGATGTTCGGAGAAGTCGCGAGGTATGAATAACGTCTGACACGTTCCCCACGGAAATCGTTATGAACGAGTGAAGCGACATCGGCAAAGTCGAGGAACACCAAGATGGATCTCGCTGACGCGATGGATAACACCGTCACAAGCGAAGAGGTCGCTATTTGAATTCCAAAGAAGCTTTCAGAGAGTCTTTTTCCTGGCTTGGATGTCAAAGCGATAAATCACCTGGCTATATAAGGATTCAGTTATCCGCATCTGGTCCAAGAAATAGGTTAGGGTCCTTCGGGGTTAGGACGTCGGGATTTTCTCTCTCGACGCGCGAAATTACCGCGCGACACTTTCGCGGACGCGTCTGGGGTGGGCAAGTTTGAGAAACGCTGCGCAGCTGGAAAGGGATCCTCCTGAATGCGACGTAGCGCTGCCAAAGTTAGGCCAACCCGAGTGTAATCCAACAACGTTGGAATATCTGTTTCCTTTAAGCGTATCGGCTTTCATCGCGGTGCGAGGCACGTAGGCACCAGGAGCTACGTGGAACGATCGAACATGGGTATCCAGGTGGACACCCGGCAGCTGCCCTTTACTTTCTCCTCGTCCCCTAATGTCGGAATAAAGAGATAACGTCGAGTCGACCTAACTACCCTAATCACCCGGACTGTCCGTTATCGAAACCGGATAAGACGGGGCGTGATTTTCTCCTTGGCTTCATCATCGAAATGGCACCGGCGCGGAAATAGGCCAACATTGGCCAACCGAGTGGTATCGAAGTAATAGCTCTCCGCAACTTTTGAAGACGAAGAAAGAAAAGAAAGTCGGTCACGCCATTCGGCGAACCGAACCTGGGACCAGCTTTGTCGCGACTCGGTCTCGAAATCGCCCGCGGTGTACGCCCGCCATTTTCTATATTTTCCTCTCCCTTCCCTTTCTTTCACCGACCAAACTCGATTGCCCGAGTCTGACGCGTGGTGTGAACACGCTTCGGAACGTCAACGAGTGCACTATGAGTAATGCGAGTACTAAGTGATAGGAATGAGTCTAATCGTAAGATCGGGTACACAGCGTGAGCTGGCAATCGCGAGTCGGCACGAAGCACACGGAGGACCCGGGTGCCGATCCGACGCCACCGATACGCGTATTTGACCACGATCAATCGAAGTCACGCGGCGCGGTACACGCTCCCGAGACACGCCTCTCTGTCTCGAGGCAAGCTGCAACGTCGCGGCAAGCACGGTCCGGTGACCTGCTCATTTCCATTGCATCAAACGGAATCGCGGTATCGTGGAATCGCATGGCGAGATGAGCGAGGTCGAGGACCCGGTCGGGTCTCGATGCGCTTCGATTAATCGCCACTCGAAGGACCCTTCGAGTCCCGATCGATGCACGGAAAGATCTCGGAAGACCCCGACGAGCTTGCCGCCACGCCTGACGTCCCAAGTGACGTCTGATGGACAGCCAGCTCGGTTCTTCGATCGATAATCAAGCGCGTCACCCGATACATCGTGGCGGCCATGTCGTGTACGACGAACAAAGCGAATCGGCCAACCTACCCTGCGCCTCCTTGTACTGCACGATGTAGTTGGTTATAGGCGAGCTGGCGTGCGCTGGATCCTGCTCGCTGGACGGCGACGACCAGGCCAACAGCAGAGACCTGCTCCCTTGCTCGGCTACGTGTAAATTCCGGGGAAAATTCGGTGGCTCCTGGACCAGCAGGTTGATGTTCGCTCTGGCGTGGCCGTAAGCGTTCGTCGCCACGCACATGTAGTCCCCACGGTCTATGTGGTTCGCCTGGGTGATCCGCAATTCCGAGATCACCCGTCCGGACACCTTCTGGTTGTCTATCGTGTACCTATAAAGGAAACACAGCAGCCAAAGCTCGATCGGTGCACGCGAAACGGGAATAAAACCAACTCTCGGGCACGCGATGGGCGGATAAACGCGCGGCGGTCCAACCGCGGATAACGTCCGGTTCTTCCATTTTCCCTTAACGCGAGAGCCCCAAATCCGTGGGATTTAATAGATATTCGCGGTGACTACATCGGCCGGAATTATTGACGAACGTTGCTCGCCGAGCTGTGCTCGAGTAATTTTGCGTGAGCGAAAGTTAGCGAGCGACGCAACAAGGGATGAGCCGAATAATTTCGTAATGAAGCAGCAGGCTGCTGAGCGAGCTGTTGGGAAAATGTTCCGTGGAAACTCTCCAACTATGGCGCGCAGTCACACGCTCCGCGGAGTGGAACCGACCGATCGAGCACCGGCTGAATCCCTCGAGGAAGTCGGCTCCGTACCGAGTCCTACCCTTCCTTCCCAACCATTTTACGCCCGCGAAATTCGAAAGCAATCCAGCAATTCTTTCGGCCATGTTTTCTGCCCCGTTCGCGAACGCGCCACCGCGTTATCTACGCGTGACGTTAATCGTCGGATCTGTCCCGACATCGCCGGTGCATAGTAATTAAGCCGTGCTGCCGTCAATCGAGATCGATGGGAGATCGAGGCGTCACCCCGATCGATCCGATTCACCGCGTAAACCCGCGCGCGAGCGTGTACCGAGGGGAAGGGGCTTGATTAATTTCGATACAAACCTAACATCGTAGTTGGGATCGACTCTGCTGTCACGCGCACGCCAACTCAGATCAAGAGGAGCGTCTCCTTCGGCCTCGCAGCGCAGCGTCACGCTCTCTCCTCGTCGCACAGACTCCTGCCGCGTTTTCACCGATACTTGCGGGCCCGCTGTTTCCATGAGGGATCGCGTGTTAATTTCCGTCTCTTGATTCTCTCTTGCCCGGCCACAGGGGGTCGTCCGGGGGGGGGGGGGGG